TGAATCTTCTGGCAAATAGGTTTAAGTATGGGCTTGTACTTTTTAACTGTTACAAATATTGGATAAGTAATAATTTGTATTTTTTGTGGTTTAAGTTTTCTTTTACTCACTTTTTTTTAATGTCACAGATTTTCTGGTCTTTATGTTATCTTAGGGAAATGCTGTATACTTTCCAAATATACTTTATTTTTCTCATTTCCAAAACACAGAATTTCACGCTGTGACAAGAATTGTTTTTCCTTTTCAAAATATGTAACATAAAAAGCAACCAGGACTAATTCTTGAAATTATAGATCATCAATTCCTTGCCTATTCTATGCGGTTTCCCAGTATTACAAAGACTATGGATTCTCTGAGATCCTTCCAGTTCTGTGACCCACCTCTTTTTCAAAACAACTTTTTCCCCTCCCCCCTATGCCTGCAGGCTTGTTCCTCTTCATTAACATACTCAAACTTAATCTCTTCCATCTGGCAGCCCCTCCTTTGGTCTGCAGTCTGAGGATCTTTTATAGACATTTGTGCTGCTACTCTGCACTGTTCATATTTGCCTCTAGTTGCTGTAGCTATAGGTGACATATAGCAAATTGCATTTGTACATGAACAGGGACTGGGTTTCACAGCCGTGAAGCTGCTGTCACGGATGCTGGCTGCCCACAGGGTGGACAAAGACCTGCTGTTTAGGACAGCTAGTATTCATAAGTTAAAGAAACAAACCATTCCCATACACTTAATTGCAGCAATGGCCATAGGAGTTAGCAGAAAATCTTTTCAAAAGTTGTCTTTCAAATGTTCAGGCTATGGAGATGTTGTGAAAAGGTAGGAAGACCTTTGCTGACATTCCTCTTAGTTGTTTTGATGGCAGAGCACTTCACAATTTCTCCTCCAAGAGGGTAGTTGAGCTACCTGAAACACTTTAGTCTATCTTGATAATCTTTGTCCCTAGATATATGGAAGAGGTGTTTGGTATTATTTTAAGATTATTGTATAGAATTCTGGGCAGAATTCTTGGGAGACTTCAAAGCTGTTTGCTCTAAATTGTCAAAGTCCACCTTGACTACCTAACACCGCTTTGCCTTTCCATCCCATGCTGGCCTTTAACAAGAAAAATGTTGTTTGAAGGAGGAGAACATATACATCGAGCAACCAATGATGACAGTGGCAGTGAAACAGAATTTGTAACCCTCCAGTAATTGTAGTAAAATAGGGCTTGTTCCATTAAAACATGTACTTTCTTTGTCTGTAGTAACTACATGAAATACTGCACATCTGAAATTTGGTATTAAGTTGCTGCATGCACACTGTTCCAAATAAAATTTTTCATTGTTAGTAACCTTGTAATATAACTATTTTTATGCCAGTCCTCATTATGATGAGAAAGGTTTATATTGGATGATACTATAGTTTATAATGAAATTATCTTGACAGTTAAACTCATGATGTGGACTTCCTTGAGTCATGTGTTTTAGGGTGCATTTTAAATAACTGTTCAGTTGAAGTGATATAGATATATTTCTTTTTTCTTTTCTAAAGTCTGTAGAAATAGCTCAGGAATGATATTATAAACTTTTAGTTCTTAAAAAAAATTCATTACAGTGTGCTTAATATGCACTTCTTCCTTCAAACAAGCCTGATTCAAAATGTCACTTAACTGGTATAAGATATGGAGCAATGAGAAATTACATATAATCTAGTTGGCTGTAGAAATAAGGATTATTAATAATATACATTATTAAGTAAAGTAAAGCTTATTGAAATATTGTACTTGTCACAGAAATAAATTACTAAAATTACTTTATTTAGTCAAGTCACTTCTAGGAAAAATGAATTGTAGCAGAAAGAGATATGGGTGATTTGCAGACGTGCTCTCTTCTAGGACTGAATTGTGCCTAGTACATAATAAGAAATGTACTTCTGCTGATTTACAGCCATCATTTAGAACTACCTAGTAGCTACCTAAAGTCCTGAAAAATCTTAAAGCCTAAATAATATTCACAGGATTAGAATATAAGTATTTCTGAAGCACTGTAATTTATGGGCTAGACAATTTAACACTGTTTCAGTCCATAGCGCTGCGCTTTTAAAGCAGGCTAAATTCTTAGTTTTAGGCTGGAACTTGTGGTTACAGTCTTCTACTTACTAGTATTTTTTATCTAATCCAGAGATGTAATAATATAACTTTTTAGGAAAATCCCACAAATTTTTCTGTCTATAATGCAGGTGATGAAACTCAACCATTCAAAACTTTCCATAAGTATAGCCATCAGTTTTTCAGGTGTCTGCTCTCTTTCTAAAACAATGTAGGAGAAGTATCTTGTCTTTTTATTAAAGATGTTGCTCAAAGAGTCAAAAATAAATCTTAGAGTAATTAGTTAAGATTCAGAAACCTTTTCTTTAGGGTTGAGATACCACCTTCTAGTATCTGGAAGTATGTAATAACATTGTAGGATAGACTTTTATAGAAAACTGTGGGAAGAAATTTCCATTCTGTTTTAAAAGGCCATATATATAATTTGTGATTAGGAATAATGTTTGTGTTCTGTTTTCTCAAAATTTTAATTTTGCACTATTATTATGCATTTCAAACTTCAAATAGAATTAATCCTCTGACAATTAAATCACTTCTATACTTAGCACTTCATTAAAATAGTGGCTTTAAAATCTGGTTTACTTTCAGCTGAGAATATACAGTATTCTTCAGACTGATCGGTCAAAGTAATGGATTACCAAATTAAACACAAAACAAATTAAAAATGTAGTTTTTTTAGTCTTTGAATATTTCTTAATTTCATAAAAAGGTTTTTTACATAGTCGTATCATTCTTATCAACCTAAGAGTCTTTTTTATTATTACTGTCAAGACACATGCCATTTCAGAGAACTCTTGTGTTGAAAAGAGTTTCATTAGTATCTTTACTCCCGTTCCATTATGACTTACTCTTAAATGGAAATAAAAAGGGAAAGTTTCTTGCCTTTCAAAAAAATCACTATGATAAGAAGCCTTTAGTATTATCTTTGATATCATCAGTTTAAAATACAGACAGAGAGTGCACAAGGAGACTTTCAACTTTGCCTTTTAAACCATGGGGCAGTTGTCTGCCCATTTTTTTATTCATAACACATGAGAGTCAAGAGGATTTAACAGTCACAATAAAATTACTCAGTGCTCAGCCTAGGAGGAGAAATTATGGACTCATACTTCAGACTAACACATCTGTGAGGAAAAACTGTATTATAACACAAAACCAAAGTAAGCTATTTTACTTACCAAAGATAATTGGTACTCAAGATGGCAAGATAGTTCTATAGGACACAGGCTAGGCCATTAATACTGCATCTTCCCACCTGGGAGCTCAGAGGCACTGCTTCAGCTTTACACAAGGTGCTCTGAATTGCTCTCAGAGTGGAAGCAGCTCCCACTGAACTCCTGAAGTTGCCTCCTCACTGCTTTTAAATAAGTAAAAGGCCTGTTCTGCAAGGCAGCAGTGAAAGTATGACCTTCACACAAATTCAAGAAGCATATAGTGAAAATGCTCTTCAGAATGCAAAAGCCACCAACATTGACTAAAAATTATGATGTGCTGCATCTGAAAGTTTATGAGTGGCTGGAAGTTAGGCTGCTAGATCCACTCCCCTTGGTGCTCTGCCCTCCAGAACTGATCCAGGTATCATTAGTGGTAAAGTTGGATAGTAACTCGTGAAAGCATTTAAAAAAGTGGTTAACTGGACTGTAAAAAAAGAAAAGGTCTGTTGTACCTTGACATATTTCTTCCTTTCCTCTGGAAGTGGCTACCGGCACATAGCTTCTCAAAATTAAGGCTATATAGAAAACAGTGGCTGAAGTAATACCTAGAAAAATCCAGCAAAGATATAGCCCTTATTCATGAGCAAAAAACTTTTCTCCTTTTTTTTTTTTAATTTGCCTTTTGACCATGCACCTCCAGGGTATTTCTGTATTGCAGATAGATGGAAAATTACTGGTTCAAAGCAGTGGTTCCCTAGTTATGGTCTGCAAGGTCATGATCTGCAGAATAATTTTAAGGATATAGTGTTTAATTATGAGTTTGATGATAAGGATGCATCCACAAACATTTTGGGTGATCCAAAACATGTTCAAAATTTCGGTTTAAAATACAGCTTTGCCCAAATATCTTATAAAAACATGCAGAAGGTTTGTGTTGGTAAGGTCAAGAAGTCATCTTAAAGTGGAGCTGGTCATTTTGTTAGAACCAAAGTCAAATACCAGATGATCATACACGTGTATGTTTTGACTTTAATGTAGATTAACAATGGTTTGTATCACTCTACAGGAGTTTAATATACTTCTTAATATAAAAGGCAATGTAACACAAAGATGGCCATGGTTCTTAATGGCTTGTATTAGCTGGAAGCTATAAAATTATCCTAGTACTCTGTTAGAGCTGGAATAATAATTTACCAAGACAATTACCACATGGTGGAACTTTTTGCTGCTCTAATTCAGTGTTATTAATAATGAATAAAATTGCAATTTTCTCAGGTTGCTAGGGGCAGTAGGGAATTATTTCAATGAATATTTCAGCACATTAGTTTAATCATAGTTCACAAAATTCAAGTGGGCAATATTTTATACTTCTAAGTTCAGTCTGCTAAGGGACCATAGTCATTAAATTGCAAACTATTTGCACTGAGGTCCATTCTATGATTTACTAGCCTTGTTAAAAACACTGTAAAAGAAAGCAAGCTGTGCCATTAATACTTGTAATTTGATGCTGCATTTGTTAATGGGCTCAGTGTGATTAATGTTTTTAGCAGCGGGCAGAACATTTTGAGACAGGCAGTGCTGGGGCTTATAATATATAAATGCATGTAAAGAAGTGCTAGAATATTGTAAGTTTTAGTAATAAATGGTTTTTAAAGATTGTATACCCGAAATGGAAAAGCAGCAGTGAAATTATACTGTAATGCATGTAAATACAGTTCAAGCCGTGGTAGGTGCTGATGTGTGTGTTCTTTATTTTCTAGCCAACTGCATGACTTCTGGCGCTTGGATTACTGGGAAGATGATTTGCGCCGACGGAGGCGATTTGTTCGTAATGCTTTTGGGTCTACTCATGCTGATGCTCTCCTAAAAGCTGCTGTGGAATATGGTCAGTATTAGCTCATGCTTAAAAATATAGCTCATGATGTTTTCTTGATGTCTATGAATCCCTGAGAATCATGTCCCTTCTTTTATAGTGACAGTGCTGAGAATTCCTAGGACAACATATTCTTAGAAAAGTAATTCTTTCAATTCTTACGCTGTAATGAACCAGAAGGCTTGAGCTTGTGGGCTGTTAAATTCTCTGATCCCCAAGGGATTCACATAATACTTCTCCAGCGTTCCCAGACACTAATTTTGAGACACTGGTAAAAGCAACTAACTTGTCTCTCCAGAGTGACTGAACAAAATTTTAGGTCATCAAACTAACATATCATAACAGTTCCACTGGAGACCTTTCATGAATGAGGAATTAAAAATATCAGAATTTTTATCCTGGCATGCATAATTTCAGACAAAAGTATTTTTTTCCTGCAAATCATGAAATGTGTAAGAACATGTTTAAAATAATTATTTTTAAGGATAACTTGTGATTTGAGTAGTGAACTGACTACATAGAAGCTTCAGTCTAGGAACTGAAGAATTAGATGGTGTTTGATTTTCATGGAGATGTAGATGAAGTATAAAAGAGGAACAAGGAACATGCTTACAAATTCCCTTATATCATCTGCAAGTTCATATGTTAGTGACTTCTGTACAGCAGACTGAGTCTGAATACTCAAAAAATCTAAAGCAAATTTATTTCTTACATTTGAGCTGGCGAAGCTCTCTAACATATCAAAGACAGGAGTTTTTTAAAGAATATTAAGATGGTTTTCTGTCCTTTTTTTTTTAATCTATAATGCTGAAAAGAAAATACTATGATTTGTTAGCATTTAGGAGTAAAAAATGGAAGTAATCATTCACAAAGCAAGTTGAACCTTTCAGCTGATGTGTAGCCAAAGGCTAATGTTGCCAGAAGTTCTGAATATGATAGATATAAAGCTAACTCTGTGTGACCTACACATTTCACCAACTTTGCAGTTGTTGAAGCAAATAGTTGGGATTCAAACAAGCTTAGACATATGAATTAATATCTGTGTGTGCAGGTATACTAGCAAGTGTAACTTAATACTTATTTAAACACAAAGGCTATCATGTGCAGGACTTCAAGTCATAAACTGCTCATGAGTTGGGTTAAGGAAGCCATTTCCCCAAGTGGTATGTAGTATTTCATATTTGACAAAGGGTTATTTTCTCCACATTCTTCTCAAACATCAAAATAGAGATTTTATGAGAGGCAGGTACAAAACTGTGCTAATTTCTGTGCTGCTTTTGAAAGGCAAATAATCATCAAAAGCACAGACTTTATATAACACCTGTTAGTGCATTCGCATACAGGAAGATTAAACCTCAGGTGTGTACACAGGTGGTGCACATCAAACTTAGTGGTGAATAAAAATTACAATAGACTGAAGTTTGCAGAATTAAAATAAATAATTCTAGCTTTTCTCATATCTATTAAAATTAACATGGAATTTTAAACCAGCATGCATTGAAGTTATAATTCATGGTTTCTATCTAGATGTACTTACTTTTCAGAGGCTTAAGCTTTTGGATTTTAATACTGAAACTTTTAGCTGACCTTTTTCTGTGAGAAAACATCCTTAACACTGATGTTATTTTTATGCCTCTTGGTGTTACTAATGAGTTGAATAATTCATGAGGTTGTCATGTGAAAAGGATTTGGTGCAGTTTGATGTACTTTTAGCCTCTGGTGTTGGAATCTGATTAATAAAGAGCTAGAGGCAGATTTCTTTTTTTTCCATAGGGTTTAACATTCATTGTGGTTGGGGTTTTTTATTGGCTTTGTTTTGGTAATTTTATTTGGAACAGTTTGATAGTAAAATGCCCCTAGCTTTTAAAACTGAGCATATCACACTACAGAAAGAATTTAAAGCATTTTAAAAAAATCATACTGCATAGTTTTCCAGTAACAGATTTTATTTCCTGACCTCAGATACTTTGTTTTTGAGAAATAAAGTATTCATCAAAGCAAAATTTGTTTGGCTTTTGTTTCAATTTTTCATCTTGACTGATACCTCTAGTACAAGTAATGCTATTTTGAGTATCAGTAAAATAGTGAAAACATCTTAGAAGTTTTTGTTATCTACATTGACTGTCAGTTATCATTTAGGATTCTGTGCATAAATATTGCAATGGAGGAATGTTAAGTCAAAGCCTAAGTCAGCAAGCTTCTCAGTGTCTACGATCAAAGGCATCAACTTAAATAGGTCTGATCAGGCATTGCAGAAGAGGGCAGGCAGTTTCAGCTGAGCAAAAATCACAGAGCAAAGATGACAAAATTAATCAGTCATTTCTTTGGCAGTAAATAATAAGATATGCTGAGGATTGCAGATGAGAGAATTTCGAGATTCCTTGGAGATGTGCCTGCTTAACACCTGATTTATCTGAGCTTGTGCAGCCATCAAGATATGACCTTGATAAATAAAAAAGTGCTTTACAGCTACTCTAGTATTAAATCAGAGTCAATGTTGCATGTATGGATACTGTAATTGTATAATATTTGCTATCATCAAGGAATAGAAGAGTCTTGGAAATTAAAACTATGTCTATGATCTACATGTTTGTTTTAAAGAAGTAATAAAAAAGGGTAAATTCTACCTTGAAATGCTTAAAAAAATATGTTAATTTTAGCTAATAGTGACTTCTTTCTGTAGGAAACATGCTATGTTATCTCCTCCTGGAAAATAATATTATCTCAAAAAAATTCTGCTACAGTGAAGTTTCTATTTAACTACAGTCTGTTAGTTAACTCTGTATGCGTGTTTGGATGTCCATCTTTTATAAAATATAATATGCGTACATATTTGTATATGTGTGTGCATATGCATACATATGAATATATGTTCAAAGTACCTGACAAGTAAAAAATATTTCAATGGGGAATTATGACATATTTCTATGGCTGTATAAAACTGTGTGAAAAATTATAGTTTATTCTTATGGCTATATACTTAGCTGTCCTTAGAGATTGTATGTATGTCAGAGTCATAGCAACATTTTCCTTTGGGATTAGTCTGCTCCATTTCTAAGAATTTGATATTAGGCATTGGATTTGTTTGCAATCTCTTAAAATTACTTTCATACCCAGATTTAAAATGAAGGCATAATTAGTTCAGCATTGTATCTGCTGTGCCCTTTCACTTTAGTTAAATTCTTACTTGAATCGAAATATAGATTCATTTCTTCCTTGTGTGACACTAAAGGGATGCTACTTAGTGGAGTATCAAAGTGCGAGCTGTAATAGGATTTTTAACTACCTGGAAATTTTTAGTAGAGTTTTAATTTTGTAGTGTCAGTAACTTAAACAGTTCTTATTCTAAGTTTAGATGGAATTTCAATATAATTGATTAAATTGTAGACTGAAAAGAAAGAAAGAAAACAGAAAAGATTGTATAAATTATTGTAAACTCTACTTTTCCTCTCCAAATTTTGCTGCAGTAGATACGTGAAATATGCAGATATGACCCACAGGTCTTCTGTACATCTGGTGAAAGAACTGTCTCTTCGAGTTAATCACCTTAACAGTTTACAGTCATTGGAGATTAGTATAGAAGAGACACTACTGTACCACCCTGCCAGTAAGACAGAATACAGGTCCATGAAGGTCAACTTAAGAGCAAAGTAGTTACTTTATTAAGCTTTGATCCTTCAGTCTTTAAAGACTGTGGTCTACAAACAATTTGTATATAGATGGAGTACAAGAAAGGCCACATTTTCTAGACTACGCTGTAGAAAATGGACATGAACTCAGTGCCCGTGTTCTAAACATACATGTGTGAGCTGGTCAAATATATCTAGTGTCTGTGCTCAAGAACATTTAGCCTTTTAAGCTGATTATCATGACAGATCCTAAATGCTTAGAATGGAAAAAAAAAAAAAGGCCTTCATAATGTAATATGTAATACATTCAGGTTTTGAAACAAAGCTACATATGTTTTATATGTGCAATATAGCCACATATGGCTTTTGAACTTGCATATTTTAAGATGCTTATTCCACTATGTGTTTGGACATCTAATTAGCAATCTTATTTCAAAGGCGGTTCTAGCTGAAGCGGACTGCAGATGGCTCCTTCTGGGACTTGTCTTTAGTGTTGTAAGCTTCACCAAAATACTGTGTGTGCTTATCATCAGAAATATGGTCTCATTACACAAACGGAATTAAAAAGCATCAGGTTTGGAAATCTGAAATGTTCAGAAACATTGGAACATTTGTAAATCTGAAATCTATTTTCATGATAGCTGATGAATTTTGATGGACCATCAAAGATTCCTTCAGGCTTCTGAAGGACTTAAATTCCCAGAACATTTAGTTTCACACAAGTGCTACCTTAAAAGAAAGTCTGTGTGGGTTCCCTGCTATGAAACTGGGGAGCTGAAATACATGGGAACCCATACTCAAACCCCTACTCTTCAGAATGAAGTATCTGGGTGTCTCAGGGACCCTAAAGGAAGAATCAATTATTTTGAGGTCCTCAATGTTAGAGAAATGTCTCAAGATGAACTTTCAGAAACTCTAGCTCTAGAGCAACCCCTCAGCGCTCAGAAGTCCAAAGCAGTTGACTCCCACAGCTTCTGAGTTCTATCTCATGAACTGCTGGGCTCCCTACCTTCTGCAGACAGTATTAGAAGACGATAGAGGGAGGAGTGTCCAGAGAAACTGTTAAGAAGTAGTTTCATTTGGTATGCACCAAATGTTGTTCTAGAAAGTTAATAAATAATAAATAATAATAATGGCCAGTCTTTGCAAACGAAGATTTGGGGAAAGGTCTTTTACCTTTCCAGCCTGCGCAATGGATTTTTTTTTTAGGTGAGACACAGCATGCGCTGAACTGAGCCCACCCTTTAATCCTAAGGTTCATCTGCCGGGGCCAAGCAAGCTTGGACGATGGCAGTGAGGTCCTCAGGACGTAGGTTTGTTTAGAGTGACCTTCTCATAGATGGATGGCCTCACAGGGCTAACGGGCTCCATCTGCCCGGGGGGACTGGGATTCGAACCTGGGTCGCAGCGGTGAGAGTCCCACATGCTAACCACTAGGCCACCAGGGGTCCCCAGTCTAGAAAGTTAAGTCAGTGTTTTACAAACATACTTACCTGACAATTTCACCTGATATTTGAAGAAATCATAATGTCCCATGAACTGGAGATGCTCAATTTCATCATCTCTATTCAGAAACTGTGTTGTAAAATCAAACACCTTATTCTAGGAAGTCTGAATGTCCACCTAGAAGCTAGTCTTCATTTCCCTCCTGCATTTTAAGTTTTACACTTTGATTTATTAGACTGTTGACACTAATGACATTGCTAATAACCTAGAGGTGTCTTTTGTCAGTGAAAATACCACTGTTGTTTACGGTAAATTCAAGACTGTCTGTCAAAGTTACCGCATAATTTTATATATCTGAAAAAGTTAGTTTACTTTTTCTCAGAGTCATAAAGATCTCAGACTTCATTGTCTTCACCCTGTCTTTTTTCTGTGCTTATTGAAAATGCCTCATGTATTTCCAGAACAATTTCAACAACACTGATTTCAGAATCATCTATAAGAAAAAAATATATTTTTTCATTAACTGATTCCAAACTGAAAGCAAGTTGAAGACAACTGACACTGGATCATCACTTATCATAGTTTTGCTAGCAGGCCCACTAAATACATAAAACCCAGTTACTTTTCTAGGTGTTTCTACAGTGAGAGCATTCTGTATGTACCATCTAAGAGATTAAAGACCAAATTATGCTTTCAGTTTTGTCTATGAAATATTGTTTTTTTATACTATGTCTACATGAACAGCCTTACTGTCAGGGTTGAGTTTTGTAGATCCTTTTGTTGGATTCTTTAACATTTACTTTTACTTATAAACTGATCCAGATATCTGTTGATCGCTAGTGACAGGACAAAAGGCAACAGGCACAAAAATTTTTTTTAATGTCATAGTGGACAAACAATGGACAGGTTGTCCAAAGAAGTTGTGTGGTCTCCAACCTTGGAAATAATGAAAACCAACAGCTATATGGCCCTCTTGAGCCTTATCTTTCCAAGATAAACAAAGAATATCTACAGAATATCTGGATCACTTTAGTAGTAAAAGTAAGTAAAAGAATAAAAGTAAAAGAATATCTATGTCTCTCTTGTACTGGGAAGCCTAGAACTGGATGCAGCACTCCAGGTGTGGCCTCACCAGAGCTTAACAGAGAAGGATGACCTTCCTCAACCTACTGGCAACACTTTGTCTGATGCAGCCAAGGTTACCATTCACCATTGCTGGCTCATGTTCAACTTGGTGTCCATCAGGACCCCCAGCTCCTTTCTGGAGCTGCTTTCCAGCTGGGGGACCCCCAGCATATGCTGGAGCCTGAGGTTGCTCTTCCCCAGATACAGGACTTATCACTTCTTGTTGAACGTCATGAGGTTCCTATAAACCCAGTTTTCCAGCCTCCTGAGATCCCTCTGGATTAGCAGCATGACCCTCTGGCATATCAGCCACTCCTCCCAGTTTCATGTCGTGTGCAAACCTGCTGAGGGAACTCTCTGCCTCATCAGTCAGATCATTAATTAAGATGTTGAACAGGTATAAAACAGTTCTAATATCAATTTGCTCATGTTTGGTATATTTATTAATACTAAAGTTAAGTTTGTTGTGACTGCATAAGCCAAGACAGTATTTTTGATCCTTTTTTTTTTCCCCCCCTTTAGTTAATGCACTAATTAGCCACACACACACAATTTCATAAAATATGTTGCTCTGGGGAAATACAGGTGATGACCCTTATCTAAGATAATTTCCCAAACTGATATTTAAGTAATATCTTAGGTATAAATACATAAGAGAAACTGAAGAATGAAAGCCCTTAACTAAAAGGAAACCCTGTTCCCTCACCCCATTCATGCACACTTATTTTAGCCTGTAAGTATATACAAGTTGACCATTAATTGTGAGCAGTTTTAAGAAATAGCGTCCACTTTATGGGCAGAAAACACACATATGTTACTTGATGTTCAGTGGTGAGCATTTTAAGAATACGTATGCAGTCATTAAATTAATCCATAACAATGCTTCCATTTGGCAAGTAAGTCCTCTTGTTCTTTAATCTACCATGTGAGACAAACATTCTGCTTCACTTGAAGCACCTAAAATAATACTTCTCCTATTACGCAACTTCCTTTCAGTATATGAACTAACTTCCACATTGATTGTGAAATCTCCAGTGTACTTTGAATGAGTTTATATCTAAATTGAGTGCCTAAAGGAATCACAAAAATCTGTCTTTTTTTCTAAGTGTAGCAATATAAGATTTTCATCTACAGCCTTATAATTGTAGCCCAACAGTGCCATCCACTGCTTCTCCAAATAATCTTCCAAATATTTCATCCTCACAGGATTTTAGGGAAAATATTACATATTGTGTCCTGTTAATATTTTATAGGGTAATTGCAAGATGCAGTTTTGTTTAAAGAAAGTCTAGGAAGAAAAGCTTGCACTAGGTATTAATAGAAGGATCTGCAAAGCACAATCTTAGTAGTGAGAATAATTAAATCTAAAATACTAGATTTAATTTGGTCTTATTTCTAATATTTCCCACCCCCTCAGTCATAAATATATTCTCATTAAACATATCTACTACTATGGTAATCCTTATTTTTATAACCCACTTTAATGTAATGAAAGGCACCTTCAAGATGTAAACAGCAATAGAATTTGCTTAGGTAGAGTACTGAACACTATTGAACTGAATTGTACTGAACACTCAGTGTCTGAGCTTCTGCTCTTTGAGTAAGTGATGAAAATGAGATGCAATTGCATCCTATTAGTACTTTGCAGTCTCTAAATATCTTCTTCCTGTTATATGGTATTTCTAGCATAGGAATTTTTGTGGCAGCTTTATAATAAGTTTTAAGAACAGTTTCATTAAATGGCCATTTTTTTTCTAATGATTTCCTCAACTCTTGAATGTCAGAATCTCTGTCTTGATTCTAATTCAAACTTTTCACGGAGCCAAATAGGATATGAAAACTTTTCCCTCAAAACCTCCGTGTTGGGTTTCAAATGCCTTTCCTCAGAGATTTTCAGGTTATCCGGCATGACCTGAATTTTAGCTGCTGTTATAGGTCTGAGCTAATAGATTTTACTGCAGAGTTTTCTGGCTTTTTACCAGCAGTTAGTATAACTACCTATGTTTCTCACTTCTTAATCTGAAAGTATATGGTGCCAGAGTGTTCCTGAAGTAATCAAATTGGCCTGGAAAACCATTCCTAAGACCTAAAAATTGCAAGCATTGACAGTCAGAATTCTAGCTTCCTTTTTCTCCCTTCTATCATTATATTTTCATGTAAAAAGAATAAACAATATCTGTCCATTCTGCCAAATGAAAGTAATTTATTTACCAAACCCCATAAATTACTATGATGATAAATATTTTCAAATCCATGTGATGGATGTATTTTATCTATTTATTCATTTCTATATATAACTGACAAAGAAATAGAAGTTCTTGACCCATGTATATTCAGTGAATCTTAGAGAAACATTTCAGAAGAACATTCTGTCAGTGAAAGTCTAGTAATAGTCCTTCAGGACAGATTTCACAGCTGGGTGAATTCAGGTCTCGGGACTCAGGTTTTAATACGTGCTTTTCTTATCTCCTATTTTCTGTGCTTTAAATCTCCATATTAAGGAGTAAAAGCACTTTAAATCTTCTTTGGCTATAGATAAAACACAAAATATTCCTTTTCTTAATTTTCTGCAGTCTTCTTATTCTTGATGTCTTGACTGCAGGACTTTGTATGTAAGTGGAAATATGTATCGTTTATGTTTTCTGAAGACCAGGCTAGGACAGCCTCCCTAGCGCACGGCTGGAATGGAGGGACATTATTTCAGCAGTGCCTCAACCTTTGCAGCCTAGAGTTAGGAGATCACAGTATAGATTTTAAAAGACTTTACTGTCCCACTCTTTCTGACAGTCAATAGGAGACATGACAGGCTTTCAGGCAACGGGCTCAGGTTTCTGCAAGACTTTGGGCTACTTGCAAGGGTTAAGTCAACAGGATCAGATTGTGGGAATCTCTTCAATATAGGTGATTCCTTGTCTTTCACAAAGCAAATGGAACTGGTATGTATAGATTTTGAAAATAAAGGAATTCATTTTCAGAGACAATATATATTTTAAGATACCTAAGTGTTTTGACTTATCTTTTTACATTGCACTATTTAGCATTTATGACGTAAAATCTATTTCTATTATATCACATTAGCATTACTGTAGACATCTTATGTAAATAGTAAGATTTGTACACAAGAAACACAAATTAAAGTATGTGTTCACTAGCTATTCCATATCCTTACAAGTAGAGTGAGTTCTTCAATACCACTTATTTTGTGCATTTCATTATTTTATAGCGCTAGCTTTGAAATGCACACGAAAAGTACTCAGTACTGTGAGTTTCAGTGTGGTGCAAGTTACAGGGCAGGTATCAAGAAACACCTTGTGAAAGTACTCTATTAAAAGCCAAATACATTTTATGGAAAAGTTAAATATACCACTAACCAGCATGATAAGGAAGACATCTTGTTAAGAATTGTATCAGCATATTATGCATGTTTCCAATTATTTAATTTTGTTTTTCATATCATGTACATTACATCGTGGCATGACCTTTTTCTTATCCTTATTGTGTGCCTGAAGAGTGCATCTCCCAGAGTATTTATATAACGTCCTGAACATCATCTACAATAGATATACTTTCCCAGCTGAAAGAACTGTGCATAATGCTTGTGTGTTTTATTGGTGTCTCTTTTGCCATATAGCACAAGTCATTCAATCCTATGCCCATAAAAAAGCTGATCCTGTTGTCTAAATAGCAGCTCAGCTCTCATCTGAGCTGAGGAAAACAGTGTTGCTAGTGCTTCCAAATCTAACATAAGCATAGAAATTTTGCAAGTATCCCTGCAGTTGCATGGAAGGTTTGTGCTCCTTGTAATCTTTGTGAAGCAGAATGAAAGATGTCACAGACCCCATGTGGCAACTTAATGGAAAGTGAAATAAAATACTGCTCTCCTTTTTTCTTTACTGCTGACTGCTGCTAAGATTTCTGTGAATTAGCTTTCCTTAATACAGACACAGGCTTTCTGCCTGGGACAGTGATTACCATTCACCCATTTCAGAGACAAAACAATGGAAATCTTGTCAATTATCTGTTGATTGAGCTGTTTTAATGACAGACCCTCAAAATCTTTTTATCGCTGATATTTTGTGTACCACTACTGTTTCCCTTTTCATCTTCTAGACTGCATGAAACAAAGACATTTTATAACTGCAACTACTTTTGGTTAAAATAAGAATTAAAAAGAAATTAGTTTTAAAAAAAGTGCAGAGTAAAAATCTGTTCTAAATCAAGGAAATAGCAAAGCTTTGATTTTAATTTGATAGATAATTGCTACATGGATAGATTACTTTGACAGATAATTGCTATTGCTAGATAATTGCTAACTTGGAGGAGATTATATATTTACAGCAGCCTGGCCCAAACAGAAGTGCTGTCTGTTGTTACTAGAATGTGGTCGCTTAGCAGCACTAAGAGTTAAACACAAATATCCCGGTGTTAGGGCCACATTGCTGCCTAACAAATGTGTATATCCTGTAGGTGCTACCCTTTGTCTAGTGTTGCTATAGGCATTGGTCGACCCTGAAATATAAAAAGTTCCTCCCACCAGTTACTGCTGAAGTGAAAATATGTAGACCACTTCTGAAGATGTGGTCATCTGTGTGAGGACAAAATGAAATTTGTACAGATAGAAACCACAGTGCAGCACACTTGAAACAGTTGGAACTGTACCACAAAAGGCAGCATAATAGAAAGAAAATCTAGATGTTCTAATGACATTTTTATATTTACAAATTTATTTATATATAATGATGACAATCCTTTTATGAAACAATTACAGGTGACATTATGTTTAGGAGATTTTGTCTGTGTAAAAACTGCATAAGATGGTCCTTCTGTATGTCTCAGAAGAGCAGAATTTCACTTGAAAAGATTACCATTCCAGAAAGCAATAGTAATTTCAGACATCGTCAAATGGCTCTCTCAAAGCACTGATCGTGAGCTGTTGAGTCTTTCTTCTGTAAATAAGTAGTCTTGATAGAAATTGAAATGGTTACCTAACTACTGGAATTACAATAGCTACTATAAAATAATTTTAAACTTATTTCCTACACCTTCATTCCCTGCGCTAGAGAATGAATTTTTTAGCTGTCCTATTATGTCTCTGTACAGTGGCTGTTTCCAAAGAGCTGATCTGTTTTGGATCTGATAGCAAAAGCTTAAGTGATGAGGGGCAAAATTGCCTTCTAGCAAAGACATAATCACCCATGCTTTTACCACAGAGAGGGAGAACTGAAAAATTAGAAGACAGACCACAATACTACAGATCAAAAACTCAACTTTGTGCAGATACAGGGGATCACAAAGGATTCTATGAGGCCCTCAAAACAGCATACGGGCCTACATACCAAGTCCATAGCCCACTACTCAGTGCAGATGGTCAAACGCTTCTGGCAGATAAAACCTCCATTCTGAATAGATGGTCTGAACACTTTCAGTCTCTTTTCAGTACCAACCGTGTAGTCCAAGACACAGCCATTCAGTCCATCACACAACAACCGGTGAAATTCGAATTGGATACTGCCCCCACTTTAGGAGAAACCCTCAAGGCCATACAGCAGGTGAAAATCGGCAAGGCAGCTGGGGTTGATGGAATTCCACCTGAAGTCTGGAAACATGGGGGCCTTGCACTCCATGCTAAATTTCATGAGCTTGTGGTGCGCTGTTGGGAACTAGGCGAACTACCCTCAGACCTTCGTGATGCAGTCATCATCACCTTGTATAAGAAGAAAGGTACTAAATCAGACTGCTCAAATTACCGTGGTATTACTCTGCTCTCCATTGCTGGCAAAATCTTGGCAAGAATACTCCTGAACAGACTAATACCCGCTATAGCAGAAGAAATTCTACCTGAATCTCAGTGTGGCTTCAGAGCCAACAGGAGCACCACAGACATGATTTTTGTTCTCAGACAACTGCAAGAGAAGTGTAGGGAACAGAACAAAGATCTCTTTGTAACCTTTGTCGACCTCACCAAGGCTTTCGATACTGTGAGCAGAAAAGGTCTCTGGCAGATTTTGGAACGTTTAGGTTGTCCCCCCAAGTTCCTTAAAATGATCATCTCACTTCATGAGGATCAGCACGGCCAAGTCAGATATGGCAACACACTTTCTGAGCCCTTTCTAATAAAGAATGGTGTGAAACAAGGCTGCGTTCTCGCTCCTACCTTATTCACAGTCTTTTTCAGCATGATGCTCCAAAGGGCCACGGCAGACCTCGATGATCAGGATGGTATCTACATTCGATATCGTACTGATGGAAGCCTATTCAACCTAAGGCGACTGAAGGCCCACACTAAGACCCTAAACCATCTTGTCCAGGAGCTACTTTATGCTGATGATGCTGCCCTTGTCGCCCACACAGAAGCAGCCCTGCAGCGTTTAACATCCTGCTTTGCAGATGCTGCTGAGCTCTTTGGGCTGGAAGTCAGCTTAAAGAAGACTGAAGTTCTCCATCAACCTGCACCTCAGGAAGTCCTCCATCATCCCCACATCACCATCGGCCAATCAGAACTCAAATCAGTCCAACAGTTTAATTACTTAGGCAGCCTCATCTCCTCAGATGGTAAGATTGACGGGGAGATAGACAACAGGTTAGCGAAGGCATATAGTGCTTTTGGAAAACTCCATAAAAGAGTATGGCGTAATAAACACTTGAAGAAAAGTACCAAGATCAGTGTTTACAGAGCCATTGTGCTGTCTACTCTTTTATATGGTTCCGAATCATGGGTCATCTACCGCCACCACCTGCGTCTCCTAGAACGCTTCCATCAACGCTGCCTCCGTACAATCCTGAACATCCACTGGTCAGACTATGTGACCAATACATCTGTTCTCGAACAGGCAGCAATCACAAGTATTGAGGCCATGTTACTGAGAACGCAACTGCGATGGGCAGGGCACGTCTCCAGGATGAAGGTCCACCGCCTCCCTAAGATCCTGCTCTATGGTGAACTTGCCACCGGCTGCCGCAAGAGAGGAGCTCCGAAGAAAAGATACAAGGACTCCCTGAAGCAACAACTCAGCCTCGGGCATATTGATCACCATAACTGGTCTACTCTGGCCTCTAATCGGGAGGCCTGGAGACAGACCATTTATAACGCTGCTGATGCTTTTGAGAAAGCGCGCAGGATCAGTCTTGAGGAGAAAAGACAACGCAGAAAGAATCGAGCCTTGCAGAATATACCATCTAAGGAGTCTTTCTGCTGTGTCTTTTGCAACCGGACTTGCCTTTCTCGTATTGGCCTTTTTAGCCACCAACGCGCTTGCAAGAAACGTGGGTAGAGCCCTTCCCAAATCTTCGTTCGCGAAGCCTAGCCATGATGAGTATGTACTTTCTTTTAAAAAATATTCAAGTTTGGACCAATCTCATGGTTTGGAGGCACTAATTGTTAAATATTAGGTAAGGGTTAAAATTTTGGGGATAGAATACCGTAGTATGGGAGTTAAGATCAAATTTCTTAGAATTATAGAATCATAGAATCATAGGATAGCTTGAGTTGAGCTTCCATAGAGAGGGATGCCACTTCCATTTCATGGAATTTGAGAGATGCCATGACATTCCTTACTTGCCACTGCTTTATCAAGTGTTTGTATTTCCAAAGAGAATTTCATTTCTTTGTCATTATTAGCCTTTTCAATTAGAATTTTTTGGGAGCAGAGAGCAAAATTAAGGCCGGCATATGTGGGTGCAGTTCCTCAGTATGGAGTGTGCCACTTTAGAAGTCCAACAACATTGATCCTGGCTTTAGGGTCTGCAAGCAAATAGAGTCAGAACATGGCTTTTTCTGAAGGATGTGTGCTTAGGAACTAATCTAAAACTTTCCAAACATAATCCTGGCCTGAATGTTAAGACATGACACAGATGTATTTTTCACTTTTATGTCATCTTATAAAGGTTTTATCAGATGCTATTTCAAAAACATAGAATGCCTTGTTTAGCAGATTTA